CGGGAGGCAGAGCTCTCCCAGGCAGAAGCTTTGGGAAACATTTAAACAAGACCAAACAAAGTAACAGAATGTGAAAGTCCTAAATTCTTCTGGAGACCACTCGGAGGAAATGGGCTGACTGCCTGAACAACCGGCCTGTCAGTGCAAAGCACGGCAGTGTTTACAGCTCGTGAGATAGGACGTGCTTTCTGCTTTCTGGAAAGCGTATTTTTCAATACTAAGATAAAATAAATGGCTGTAATGTAAGGAGTCTAAAGCTGAAGCTAAACAACCCCACAGTTTTGCAGGCAGTGGCTGGAGCGTGTGTCGGTCCATACTCTGCACTGTGTGAAAGCATGAGGGTGAATGAGGAGAACATGACATTTGGTACATCTGCTCGCACGTAACTGCTCAGAAACAACGTTGTGGTTTGGCATCTTGTCTGGCTTTGGCTGGCATCACTCCATACAGATCACCCCGTGACTCCCAGGGCAATGCTGTTTTCCAGCACCTCAATCTCTGGGTTCTTAGATGCATGACAGGCTGCTGAGATAAGGTTTGGGGGTTAAAACTGCTCACTATGGGGCAGCACGCTACATTACCCACTGTGCTGGGGATGGGAGCTCTCCTAGACCATCAGGGTCCAACCTGGTGGACTTTCAAGAGGCATTTGGATATGAATCTGAATGGTTTGAGTTGGAAGGGACCCTTAAAGGCCATCTGGTCCAACTCCCCTGCGGTGAACAGGGATGCCCACAGCTCCTTCGGTGCTCAGAGCAATAAAATGCTTGAACTTCTGGTTAGCCCTCAAGTGATCATGCAGTTGGATTGATATCTTTGTAGGTCCCTTCCACCTGAACTGTTGCAATTACTCTGCTGGAGTACCATTCAGGAGAGCACTGCTGACTGCTGTTCTTCAGGCATCTGCAGGAGCAAAGAGATCCAAAGCCCTTCTGACCTGTGAACTCTTAGCTTAATGTCGGCTTCGTGCAGGAAAGCGTGCTTCTGGAAGTGCACTGTGAATGTCTTTGGGACTGGCAGCTGCCCTTGGTGAACGTACAGCTCCTGAAAGATTTGGGGCTCAAGCTTTCCCTTTGGATCAAATCATAGAATTGCTTAGCTTGGAGGAGACCATTCCAATCCCTGCTGTGGGTTGGTGCCCCCACCACTCATGCTGCTCAGAGCCCCATCCGTAGCCTTGGGCACCTTGAGGGATGAGGCACTCATAGCTCTGGGCAGCAGTGCCAGGGCCTCACTGCCCTTTAAGTAGAGAAGATTGTCTGCTCTAGCAGCCTTGGTTGTCTGCTCTAGCAGCCTTGCCATCCATAATCTGAAGCTACTGGGAATACTCCGTTCCCCTGGGCTCAGGCAGGGATGGAGGGCTTTCCATTTCTCTTTAAGAGCCCCCCTGACAGGTCAGGGATGCTGAACCATGAGCAGCAGGTAAGAAATTCCAAGCATTTCTCACTGACAGCTAAATTCCCATCACAACTGATGGATGTGCCTCCCAGAGCAGGGGGGCTTGCAGGTGTGCGTGCCCACAGGTGTGGTGGTCTAGCCAGATGCTTGAACTCCTCACAGTGCTTGCAGGGAGATGACCTTGTGAACTCCACAGCAGGGATTTACTGGCAAGCTCCTGGCATGAAGGCTGTGAGGATGTGAGATGTGTTTGGCACTGGGACAGAGCTGCAGGGGTTTGGATGAAGGTGCTCCCTCCCTGAGGTCATCCTGGGGAGTGTGCTGGTGCCCTTGCAGGAGAGCAGGGAGATAGAAGTGCCCAGGCTCTGCAGGATAACCAGCAACAGTGGTGTCCAAAAGCCTGAACTCCTTGGCCATCCCTTCTCTTGCTCTTTGGGGCCTGTTTTAGGGTATCCTGGCTGAAAGGCTGGGGGCATTTTTTTCCCTTGCATGGCCTTCCAGTGGTGCTTCCCAAACAAGGTATCACTCTACCCTGCCTTGGACTCTCTATACCTTTGTGACATCCCAGCCCTAAGGTTCCAATGCACCCCCATGCTGACTTAGTAGTGCCTCTGCACCAACCCACAGAGCTGTATCCCAGTGCATCTCATGTGGCCTCAGGGCTGTCATGAAGTGTCTGCAAAGAGGAATTAGAAACTAGAGGTGTTGAGTTGATTCACATTCCTCTTAAACCAAGCAGCCAGTGGCGAGCTGCAAGTATGCAGAGTGCAATGGGGAAGTCCATGCTGGAAACACTTCTAAGGTAGTTGTGTCTGGAGGTGCTCTGGGCACCTTGTCCTTGGGCTGGGACAAGGATGAGGTGACTTGGGGAGTGATGCTGGGGATTAGTATTGCAGGATGTGTTTCAGAGCCTTGGCATCTTCTCCAGGGAGGCAGGAGCAGCAGTGCTGTGTGCTGGACAAAGTGATGTGGTCCATTCTGGTACCTTTCTAAGAGCTGTTAGCAATGGGAAGATGCTTTTCCAGACCTGTGCTGTCAGCTTCTCTTCCTGTCTTATGGAGAATGAGTGGGTTTATCAGGAACATTTGCATTGTGCATTCTTACTTTATTGACAACTCTTTAATTCGCATCACAGAGGTTGGCTGAGCTCTGCATTCCTCTTCAGTTAATCTCTTTTAACCCTGTTTTCCCTCCTGCATTTCTATTCTCTTGCTCTCCAAACGCTGTCACTGTCGTTGGCAGTGATAGCACCTGGCAATGGGATTAATTGCTTATCTCAAGTATGAGGTAACACTGTGGGCTGCTAATTACATTTATCAGGAGGGAAATTGGAAGAATTGCCCAGAGGAAGGCTGTCCCACGAAGGATGAGCGTTGAGAGCTCATGTCTGTTTTGGAAGAAAGAGGCACGGTTCATGAAAGGAATAAGAGGTAAAACTTCAAACTGGTTGGACAAAGTCATAAATACCCCACAGCCACTGCGAGCAGCAGACTCGAAGTGCTGGTGGAGGGGACTCTCCTTTCATGCCCTGACCTTTAGTTTGGGAAAAAGTCTCCTGTTTTTCCCAATTGCCCTCACGCTGGTTGACCCAAAAGCACCATGCAGGAGAAAGGAGATGGCAGAGCCCCAACAGCTCGGGACTGTGGAGTCATCCTGGCCTCCACCCCACAACAAGATGGGAGGCAGCTGGAAGATAAGGCTGGGGATGTAAGACTCAGAGCCTTGCTTGAGTGGAGGAGGGCTGCCAGGAGATAATGGTGGACAAAGAGAGCTGAGGAAGGGTGTTCATCAGAACCAACAGTGTGGATTGAAAGAGCTGCCATTCAGTGATCTGCTGTCTCTTGACGTGATTTCGGAACGCTGCAGAGGAGTCACACCAAAATGTTGTCATTTTGCAGGGTTATTTGTTGCCTTATCTGTATGGGGATGAAGAAAGTTGCCAAAAATGCTGATCATGTTTTAAGGGCATGTGAAAAGAGTTCTAGCAGCCCAGCTTGGTCAGAGTGGAGTAATTATGTATGTTGCTTGTATTGCATGTCAGTATTGGTATTGGTACAGGAACCCTGCTATCATTTTGGGTGCAGAGCCACCTTCATCTCTCTGTAACAGAGATAATCACAACACCTTTCCCAGCAGTGTAACACCCTCTGAGATGGGTTAATACTGAGAGACACTGGGAACAGGATCAGAAAAGGAGTCGAAAGCCTTAGAGGATGGGGGACCATGGGGATGAAAAGATTCATGAACATGAGACGGGGGAGAAGCCGGCTTTCCTGCAGATTTCCAGCAGATCCTTTGACTTCAGGAGTCCAAAGGGACTCCTGAAGCATGCAGGGTAGGGTATTTTTCTGTTTTCTTGTTGGAAACCCAAGATAATGTTGAAGGTAAGGGTTGAAAACAGAGAAAATTCTTATTTGTGTGTTTGTTTTTAAATTAAAAATAAGCACTTCTAGTAGCTCTTGCTTACAGCAATCCTGGGAACCTGGATGACCTGATCTAGTGGTTGGCAACCCTTTCCATGTCGAGGGATCATCTTTAAGGTCCCCCCTCCAACCTAAGCCATTCTATGGTTCTATGATACGATTCACTCCTGACCATATGTTTTTCCTGGGCTGTTTTTTTGTTCTGCCTCACTCCTGAAAGCCTTGATGGTGAACTGAAGTAGAAGTTTGTTTAACTCATTTTAGTGCAGAAACCACCTGCCACCCCCAGGCTCTTCATGCTGCACGAGAGATCAACAGTGGTGAAAGTCACAACGGAGTGTAGTCACCGAGAGCCGTGCTGATAAATGGTTATAGCCAAGCTTTTGCATTGGCACTGGTGACCCACTGGGTTGGAAAGGGCCTTCTAGTGCTGTAGGCTTTGCAACAATATTTTTAGCCTTATGCACCATATCTGTTAATGCTATATTTCAAGTTGTGGTCCAGCCTTCACCACCCATCTGCTGCAAGGCAGCACGTGAGCCACTCTGGCACCCATCATGCCTGGCTGAACATGCATTTTTTGAGTGGCTGTTGCTAACGATGTGGCTTCATCTGTGAGTGGCTAGACCCCAGCAAACTGCTGCTTGCGTGTGATGGCATGATTAGCAATGGCATAAACGAGAGGAAACTCATGGAGACTCTTACATGAATGTGGGATTCTTAGGAAGAGTCAGCATTGCTTTGTGCAGGTCAGTTCCACCTCCAGCAGGAGGGAAGATCTCCACCCTAAAAGGTTTTACTAGAAAATAAGCAGCCCAGCTCATGCCATCCTCTTTGAGAGACTTTGGTCTGATTCGGTACAGCCACTCTGAACTTCTTGCATGATAGCAGATAAAAATCCCCTTTGCTGTCCTAAGACTTGGTCTGTGGACCTTGTTTTTGCATTTGTGGTTGGGAATGCAACAGGGGAGACCTACATAGAGACCCCATCTCAACCTGCCTTTTCAGGGTCTTCACACCAGCTGCTCTTTCTCCACTCTGTTCATTTCAACTTGTCGGGTTTTGGCTTTGGATGCTGCAACGCCCCAAAGAGCTTTTTCCTGCAGCACTGCCGAGCTCTGGGCATCCTCGCCAGCCCTCCTTCCTCACAACTCACCATCGCTCTTGGTTCTTTTCCAGGCTGCCCATCAGGGACCTTCAAGGCCAGCCAAGGAGATGAAGGATGTGTCCATTGTCCAATTAACAGCCGGACGACTTCGGAAGGGGCCACGAACTGCGTGTGCCGGAATGGATATTATCGGGCAGATGCTGACCCTGTCGACATGCCCTGCACCAGTATGTGGGCTCCAGGCAACTGGGGAGGGGAGGCACAGAGCTGGGGAAGGAGGCGTGCATCAGCCAAAGCATTTAGGGTGACTCAGAGCTCTAAGCTGTGGGATGACTTCACTCTGGGGCTGCTCCTGAATGCTAAGTCCTGGCTGTAGGTGCTCAGGAGTTTAGGGCAAGGGCAAGGAATCAGAAAAAATACCAAAAATGTCAGGTGAATTTTGTCGTGGGTACTGTGTGGTCAGTTTAGCAGGGACGGACCTGAGTTAAGAAGGTAAGTTTGGCTCCCACTCCTGCTTTTGGCTGTTCAGCTTCCTGCACACATCCCTGTGACACCAAGAGAGTCACAGAATCATGGAATGGCTCGGCTTGGATGGAACCATAAAGCCGTCTAGTTCCCTTGCCAAGAGCTGGTTGCCCCCCACACTGAGCCGCTCAGGGCCCCATCCAACCTGGCCTTGGGCACCTCCAGGAATTGGGCACCCACAGCTCCCTGGGCAGTTTGGACTCCATAATTAGCAGCCTATTCTTCCTAATATCTAATGTAAATATCCCCTCATTTAGTTTAAAACCACTCGTCTGTGACCTTTCTCTATCAGACCACAGTATTGTCTCCCTCCTGTTAATAAGCTCCTTTAAGGGCTAGAATGGCACAGTGAGGTCTCCCAGGAGTCTTCTCCAGCCTGAACAAGCCAAGCTCCCTTAACCCTTCTTCATAGGAAAGGTGCTGCAACCCTCTGAGCTTCTTTGTTGTTGAACCCCACTCCTTTCACATAGACCCACATCTCAAGGTTGTCAAGATCCAGCAAGAGAAGCAGCTGGGCTCAACGCAGGGCAAATCCTTGCTGGGGATGGGTTCCCATAGCATAGAGCAGAGCCCTTGTTCTTACACTTTTCTCTCTATTCCCATCATAGCCATCCCATCTGCCCCCCAGTCTGTGATCTCCAGCGTGAACGAAACCTCCCTGATGCTGGAGTGGACCCCACCACGAGACTCAGGGGGCCGGGAGGATCTGGTGTACAACATCATCTGCAAGAGCTGCGGGTCGGGCCGGGGGGCGTGCACACGCTGTGGGGACAATGTGCAGTTTGCCCCACGCCAGCTGGGTCTGACAGAGCCTCGCATCTACATCAGCGACCTGCTGGCCCACACGCAGTACACCTTCGAAATCCAGGCTGTGAATGGCGTCACCGACCAAAGCCCCTTCTCCCCGCAGTTTGCATCAGTGAATATCACCACCAACCAGGCTGGTAAGAGGCCCTGTCTCCTGTCAGACCCCCGTGGGAAGGGGAGGTGGGGGTGTGGGGACTGAACGCACGTGCTGGATGAAGTTCTGTGGTATGAGCAGGGCCTGAAGGGGAGGCGGAGTGGGGTGAGATGTGGTGTGATGTCTCTTGCTCTGTGGTAAGCAGATGCAGTGGCCTGGCAATTCCTGGACAAAACATAGAATCATATAATGGTTGACTTGGAAACGATCTTAAAGGGCCAACTCCAGTCATTACCAATGGCCTTGAGCACCTCCAGGGATGGGGCGCCTTCAGCTCTCTGGATGGGTTCTGAGTACCAAGAATTTCCTCCTAACATCTAACCTAAATCTCCTCTCTTTTAGTTTAAAACCATTCCTCCTTGTCCTATCACTATCTGCCCATGTAAAAAGTCGGTTTCGCTCCTATGTATAAACTCAACCAGAGGGAATCCCTTGAATATGAAAAATATCCCCTATTTCTGTGTGCCCCAAGACAGAGCTGCCATGCCAGCCACTGCAGCAGTCTAGCTCGTGTCACTGTCCTCTGGTGTCTCAGCGTTTCCCTCTGGCATTGGACCCATAATCATTTCTTTGATGCCAGCAGGCACACACGCTGTAGGTGCCTTTAATCCTCATTGCTGGCAGCGTTGCAGACACAGCAGCAGCTCACACTGCTGCTGGCAGCCCCTGTTGGTGCTCCTGGTTCCTGAGGAGAGAAGGTAATATCGGCTCGAGTGTTTTGACACAAGCTGTCATCTCTGCTCCAACAGCAGAGAAAGTGCAGCCTCTGGCCCAAGCACCAGAACAGGCCGTGAAAACAGAGGAAAGCTGTAGAGATGGGAGGCTGTGAGCCAGCTGTACAGGATTGCTGCCTGGAAAACTGCTCCAGATCCTGTGCTGCTGCAAGCCACCTGCCATGCTCACAAGCCCCTCTCTGCTGTGCTTGGTGAAGAAGACAACACAGCAAAGCTGTAATGGTTTCTCTTTGGGTTGCCAGCTTCTGTGCTGGCCCAGGGGGCTGGGGAAAGGGATGTGCTGGGGTTGCTGGCAGTGCTGTTTCCTAGGAGAGCTGCAGGTGGCAGCTGTGCTGGTGGCTGGGTGGCCTGCAGACCTGCTCTCCCTGTCCTGCCTGGAAGCCATCTGGACCTGGAGCACCTCTTGGGGCCAGGCCTGAGCTTAATCCTATTGCACGGTGGAAGCACATCAATATGGTGTGAGGAAGCAAGCAAGTGGTTGATCTGAACACTGCAGACTGTGTGCAGGGAGTGTGAACGTTCCTCGGGGTTCCTGGACACTACGAGAACTTCAGCACCAAATTGGATGAGTGTGGACTGTTGCATTGGCACAGAGCTGCTGGAGGCTGTGTTGTGTGCTTGCTGCAGGGTGCGGATGGTGGTGTGGGGTGTTGGTAAGGCAGTGGTGGTGCAGATGGGCATGGGTTGGTTGGACGCACACAGTGCTGAGAGAGGTAACGTGCAAAAATGTGTCGGTCACCATGAACCGTCTTGGTGAAAAGCAGAAAGCTGAGCTGAAGGTGAATCCTCTTTCAGTCCCCTGATCATCATCCTCCTTGTTTGATACTCCTTCATTGTCAGGACTCACACTTCTCAGCCTGTGTGATATCTCCCTTAATGTATCTATTCATTAGCACTAAACAGTAACTGTCTGCTTGCTGATTCCTCTGTAATTAGAGGTTCTGAATTCTTCAGCTTACACTGCCTGGCAGCCTTGGTGTAGATCATTAGCAGTTGGTAACAGAAGCTGCACACACAAAGGCAGAGCTGGGACAGGAGAATGGAGGGTGTTGTACCAGGAGGAGAGTGCATGGAGAGAGTGGGGCATTGAGCCTGGAAGTTGGTGGCTGCAGCATGGAGCTGCATCAGAGGAGGCTCAGGTGGGTGATAGGGAAAGGATCCTCACCAGAGGGCAGTGGGCATGGCACAGATCCCTGGCGCACAGGGAGCACTGGGACACTCAGCCATAGGGTTTGGGTGGTGCTGTGCATGGCCAGGTGTTGTGCTCGGGGATCTCGGGTGGGCCCCTTCCGACTCGGGATGTTCTGTGATTATGTTGAAATCCAGCAGCATCTTTAACCTTCAGATATCATAAATTCCTCAGCATTCCAGAGAAAAGATGCTATGAGACAGTGGGAAAATGATCCCTATAGAATGGCCAGAGTGCAAATACTGAGTTTGAATGGAGGAGTGCAACTGGTGGCTTTGATGGCATCGTGACAGTTGACACTAAATAGCAGCTTGAGATCAAAGAAGATAACACACCATTCACCTTCCTGTTCTAGAATTCACAGAATGCTAGAATAGCCTAGGTTGGAGGACATCTTAAAGCCCATCCAGTTCCAACCCCTGCATTAGGCTGGGTGCCCCCCACCAGCTCAGGTTGCCCAGGGCCCATCCATGGCCTCAGGCACCTCCAGGGACATCCACAACTTCTCTGGGCAGACCGTGCCTGAGCCTCACCACCCTGTGAAAGACAGTTCATCACTGCCACATCCCTCTCCAATGATTACTGCCATCATTTGAAATACGCACCTTCTTTCTGGTCTGGATTTCTGTAACATTCAGTCTGTGTCAACCAAACGCATTTTGCTGTTGTCCTGTGTTGGTAGGATGTTTGTACTCATGTAGAGACACAGTGGGTAGCTTCTCTCAAGGGAAAACAAGAGACAATTAGACCAAGATGGATCATTCTTTTTTTGCTATGAGGTGGTTTTGCAGAATGTGGCTCTCCCTTTAGCTCTTTGTGGACACTTTCATATTCTTCGTCATAATTCTGTGTTAATTAGATACTGCAGCTAGTAGAAGCACTACTGCAAATAATCTGCTTTCCTTTCTGTGCTGTTTGCTCACTGTTTGCTCTATACATCCAAGGACTCTGCAGCCTCACCCAGCTGTGCAAGGAGCTCTTACCTCCTTGGTGGTCTCTCTGACAATGTCTTGGTCCCTTCACATTCTGCTTCCCTGGTGCAATATGCCTCTCTGCAAGGCCTACATTTGAGTTTCCAGACCTAAGCATAACCTCACTGTTGTATTCATGGGCTCAGCCATCAAGCTATGTTCACTGCTGTGCAGAGAGGTTGTTTCTGTGTCTGTGGCTTTTCCTGAGTCCTGGAAAATGCCACCTCTCTGGTAACCTCTCCCAGGACTGTGTCACCCTCCTGAGAAGATGCCTTTCTTAATTTCTAGTCTGTATCTGTGGCTCATTCCCCTTGTCATGTCATCCATCCCCAATGAGCAGAGCTTGCTTTCACCCTTCTTTAACTGCTCTTTAGGCAGTGGTGACTAAGATTAGATTCACCCTTACCGTCTTCATTAGCAGGCTAGACCAGAAAATTATAAAGGACCAGCATCAGAACAAAAGAAATTAAAAGAGCTTGAAGGAGATCTTCCCTTTCTACCACCTCCCTGCTCCCCAGCCAACTCAATGGATTTGCCCATTCTGGAATTTACCCATTCCAGCAAACTCTGTATGATCCCATTTCCTGTCACCTTTAAGACCAGGCTGTATTTTCTCTTTGCTCTTCTCAGTAGACTTCTCTGTGACTCCCTAAGCTGCATTTTATCAATGGCTCATCCTCTGCTTTCCTGCCATACGGTACTGCTCCCCTACAGCTCTGTATGGAGGCACGTCCAGGACTTTCCATCCACCCCTTACAAAACCTTGATGCCTAAAAGAAAACAAACATGCCGTGCAGATATAGGGTGCCACAAAAAACCTTTTCTCAGCCATTCCAGAACCAGAGATCTGTGCCAAGAGGGGTGGATGAGAGGAGAGCTGAGAGGCGTGCCAGCATCCCAGGAGGGAAGGAGCAGGAGGGAAGCCAGGGGTCAAGGAGCTGAGCATGGCCCAACGCTTGGGATAATGACACTCAACTAATTGAGAACCATGCCGTGTGTCAACCCTCTCACTTGTGACAGCACACTGCTCCTGCTTGCTAATTTGTGGCATTCTTTGGGGAGGGTTGGGGAGGGGGATAATCTTGGTGCTGGGAGGATTTTCAGTCTCTGTTCATGCTGTGGATGAGCTGAGTGCCTGGGAAACTTGGGGAAGGAAAGGGCTTCTTGGGCAGGGAAGTTTTAAATAGCAAGTGGGAAGAGCAGCTCTTGGTATTGGGCTGTGGCTGCTGCTCACCTGGAAGGGAGAAGGAAGAACTGCTCTGCAGATTACACCAATTCAAGACCTCCCAGTGTCTGGGGAAACAAGAACATCCAGATTTTTTGGGGGACGTGTTCCTTATGAGGGATTCTTGTGTCACACAGAGTCAGAAGGGAGGATTCGTGCAAGTGTCAGAGGCTCTTGGCTGCAAACAGAGCCCAAATAAACAGACTATGGGATAGGTAATACAGTGTGAACACCAGCTAGTGTGTGGCACAGGGAACAGATATTCATTCCCAATAAACTGATCAGGAGAAGCATCCTCTGCAGCAGAACTGAATGGCCCATCTTCTGTGTTTCTGTGGATTCAGATAACTTACTTTGATGGTATATGTCACAGCATGAGTCCTTTGGCTTGGGAGATGCACAGCTCACACCTGTGCTCTAGGTTCGTGCCAGACATCATTAAGGTTTAAAATTCCCTTGTAGCCATGGTCCATGAGCTTCTGCTCCTGGCTTTGCCCAGAGCAGGCTATAGCTTTGAAAAGATTTCCCTGTCTGTGAAACAAAAACCTGGGGAAGTGCATGCAGAAGTCACTTTAGAGAGCTGGAATGAGCTTTCCAGCTCTTAAAATGAGTCCATTTCTTGTTGTCTTCCAGTATAAATGTAAAAGCCAGGAGACTGTAGCATCCCAGCATCTTGCATCTCTCATCCAACCACCCAGCTATGGCAGGACAGGTACAGTTTTGGCTGGATAATTCTTGGTAATCACCAAAGGCAGAGTTCTCCTCACATCTCCAACCTGCCCTAGGGCTGCACAACCTCCTGGGTAGGAAGCTTTTCCTCATGTCCAACCTGAACCTCCTAAGCTATGCTCTGTGGACGTTGTC